ATCAGATTTTATGTGTCCTTATCGCTTACATTGTATAGTAAACAGTTCTGTGTGCAAAGCCACACCTACCATAAAACAGTTCTTTGGCTGAAAGCATGTTGTGGGCAAAACTGAGTTTGTTGTCTCCCGCTCTTGGCTACGTTCCCTCTACAGAAAATGCATGTCTGATCATCTCTCCTTCCGACATCTTGGCATTGCGAGCTTGTCGAGTCCATCCATTATTCTGCTTAATGCATTCTGGCCTGTGAAGTGGCTCTGGGTTGCACGGACTTTGCCTTGTCATAATAAAATATGAGCTGTCTCTTTTGCTCTGATGGCTCTGGGGGGAAGCTGAGAGAAGAGGGAGAGATGGACACAAGAAGATTGATATATTTGAGCTCTGCCTGCATTGATTTAAGGGGCCAAAGGCGACACCATGATCCTTCAAACCACCTTTTACTCTATAGCAGCAGCATGCTCTTTATAAAGATGGAGAACAGAGAGAATTTTAATTGATTAAATCTAGAATTCGGTTTGGGCTGCACACCCCAGAGACCACAGCGCCCCTTATTTGTTTATGGCACCTGTCACGGACTGGACACGGGGGCAGCCCCTGATAACTCTGGAACTTTACTTGTTTATGAGTCCAGATGTAGAAACTTATTTAATCTGCAGCTGTACTTGGTGTTCATGTCTGCAGCTATGTTCTTTATATGCCTAGATTTGCAACCTTAATGGAAAAGATCAGAGCTTCTGTCCTATTTACAGAGTCTGTGTGACTTCCTTCATCTTTTGGTTTCACACTGGCTTTATCTCGGTAACTGATTCTTCTGATTTCAGATGAAATATGTTTGTGTGGGCTCACACATTTTTGCGTATGGGTTGTTTCCTTGTTTTAAAGGGAAGTTTCATTTACATTCTGTGTTTCTTTTGTTTATTGTGCAGTGAGTCGTATACTGTTTGGGTAAAGTCAGCCCTGAACTTACTAGAATGATGAAAACTTTCTAAAAAGACACATCAACAAGCACCAATATTTAAGTAATCTAAATAATAAACAGTTTTGCGCTATATGTTAACTACTGAGAGCAGTTGATGAAATTATATTTTAAAAATGCTGTTTCAGCTCAGCTAGTGAGAGCAGTAAATCCTCAGGTTATTGTTGTCAGATGTGTCAGTAAAACCTGAATTCATCTGTTTTCATGCTTCACCAGTGATGGTGTGGGAAGAAACGCTACTTTGCTTGTTCCGGTCTGCGTGCTCATTCACTCACGTCGCCCTTCCTTTTACCACTACAGAGCTTTTTAACGGACAGCTACCACCTCATAATATCACTCTAAACACTTGCTAGTAGCTAAAAATGTCAGCCCGTCTCAGACACAAGCACTAAGCTGCTGCACTTGGGAAGGAGAGTTTAAACTCCAGCTCGTTAATTATTGAACACTCATCTGTAATTCAACCTTATTTATACGGTGTGTTTGCTTGTTAATAATGCACACATACACTCAGTGGACACTTCACTGTATCAAATATTGCTATATGCTATGTCTTCATGTGGAGTTGATAATGTTCAGTTTTTGTGGATGTTGTCTGGATGTTCGAGGACATAGTTCAGTGTTATACAGGATTAAATCTCCTCATTTCCACACATGACAGGGCAGAATATGAGAAATGCCTCACTGAATGTATCTGGGCTTTTGACCAGACAGAATCAGTGAATGTTATCCTGAATTGTCCTTTGCATCCTCACAAAACCGGGAAGCAAAGAGAAAGAATCAAGAGCGTTTTCCTTTTGGAACAGACTGGAAACTGTAGGGATGAAGTGGGAATGAAGGGATGCGATATGCCTGGGGCCAGTATCCACGGCCACACAGTAGCACTCTTGGTTACGGACCCATGACGACACGACCTCAAAGGCACAGCGGCATCCCTCGACGCTGCCTGTTTAGAACACGGATGGCCTCAAGAGTCAGCCTTTCCTAACAACACCGCTCTCTATCACACAGTTGCAAAACGAGGGATGTGGAGATGGAGACGAGAGCGGGAGTGGAGCTGAGCCACGATGTCTGTCCTCACCGCTTGCTTCGGTTGCCATGGAGATCCTGAGGGGATTCCAGATTCCTGCAGGTAGAGATGGAAATGGAGTCAATTTGGTAGCATTTTCTAACAAGCCATCTGTTTGTAAGGCTTTATAATTTGTAATGCTTGATTTATTAGTGGGTGAAGTAGAAGTTAAAAGACAACTTTCAAACCCAAACAGCTGGATAGTAATAGCAGGGGTGCATAAAAGCAAAATCAATTATACACAGTGCTGAAGGTAGCCCACAGCCAAAACACTCTGCATTTATTTCATGTAATCATTTATTTGACGGGGATGCTGCTCATTGGTCACCCAAAAAAAGGCTGTATGAGTTCTTCAGGCTGATTTTCAGCTGTTGTGCCTCCTGAACAACCACTGAGATCAGCGTTAAAACGACTTATCACAATGAGCACATACTGTTGACACGTGAGGAGTTCCCCTAAATCAGTACAATATACACTTCTACCAAGCAAATGTTGCAACATAACTACGAAACAAAGGAATATCCAGTTTATTTAGGTGTGTAAATGATTTTGGGCTCGGGTTAACAAGTCATTTACTAAAACTTTCTAGACACCATGCTGATGAACCGAGGAGCTCAGAAGAAACAGTGAGTGCCATGCTAGAGGAAGATAAACACCGATGACAACCTGGCAACCCAGGTGTTCCTATCAATAATTTATAACGTTTTTAAGAACCAGTTTGCTTTCCATAAATGGTTTCAAACTATTTCCATCTGACATTTTTATTTTTCTCCAAATGCCAGCTATAGATAATAGAGAACACACACACAGGTTTTCAGCGTATTTAAGTAAAGAGCTCATAACTAAGCCTCTTAACATGCATTTTCTCAGTTTTATCAATGTTAAGATCTCTTAATTTTCTTACCAAAGGCCCCTGCCGCCTAAAATAAATAGATTAAATGCTTAGCAATCATTCATGTGAAGGTGATTGGGGTTTTTCATGGGCCATAACTGACTCCTTGCTTAGCTTGCATTTTTCTGAGTTAATACGTGTACAAGTAGCTATAAGCCACCTAGAGGTGTCTCATAACCCTGACAGCATCTATACAACACTGGATGAACAGGCTGGAGGTGATCAGTAGCTACAGTGAGCAGAGAGCGCCACCCTGTGGTCAGTGTAAGAAGTGAAGCTTTGCTCTGCTCCAGAGTCAGTTTCAGTGTGACTGTGATATGTCAAGTCAATGTTTTACTCCTGCCTTTGCAAGACAAACAAAGTGTGAGGGCTGGAAAGTGTATTCCTTGTAGTGCCTTGAACACACACGCAATACACTCACACACAAACGCACAACTCCCTTTCAGCACTGAGTAACATCTTTAGATTGTTTCTGAAGATGTTCACATCATTTCATGTCATTGTTTAGCTTGATGTGTCCAACTGACAGAACAAAACCACAACAGTCCAACAGGTAAACAAATATTAGTGTTACTTTTTAAAATCTAATTTCCTCATCTAACTGATTAGTTTACTAAATGTTTTAATGAGACACTGCAGTTTACATGTTTTATTATCATACAAATCTATCATCTTTCTTCAAATGCTTCAATTTCCTCCATAATGTTCATTTAATAAATCACACTGAGTACACTGAGGCTTCATTTACAATCTATCCCAGTAAAAAAGAATAAAAAAATGTACTGGCACAAACAAGAAACATGGTCAACAATAACAATCAAAACATTATTGACCAGCATTCCTGCCCTCTGTGACCCTGACCTTAAAGGTTACATATTCGAAGCATGTGAGCAAATAGTGTTTAAAAACAGGTTAAATTTTATTGTTTTAGTGCCTGCAGGGGTGAAACTACTCAATATTTCTGCAAAATGTCAGTTTTAGGTCACAAAAATGAGTATTTATGTATTCATTCATTAAAACCTTTGTGTTAAACTCTGAGTACACTGAGGTATAAAGTCCTCATTTACAATGTATTTGAGTAAGAAAATCAAAGTTGTAGAGACACAAATGGGAAACTTGGACAACAATAACAATCAAAATATTTTTTAAAAGGTTCTTTTGTTGTTGGCATTTTAGAAAATGAAGAGATGATGATAAACAGAAGTAGTTACCAACATCCTTAGCTGGTGTCTGTTTGTGACCCCACTTAAAGGTTACATATTTTTAATGAGGTGTGAGCAAAACGTGACTTTAAATTAGCATATATTAATGTTCCAGGGCCCTACAGAGGTGAAACTGCTCAGCGTTCCTGCAAAATATCAGTTTTAGGAGCAGAAATGGTAGAACTACTGCATTAAATTGCACTTTTGGGGGTAGATTAGAGCCAAAACAGATCATCGTGGCTTTGAAAACAGCTCTAGAATATTTCCTTGTTTCCTGTAACACATGATGTGTCACCTTTCTTTTGAAAAATGTGTCTTTAAATACAAATTAATGTTTATCTGCTCAGCTGCTTCTTTGAACTGAGGCCTGTCCAAAAAAAACAAAAACGCAGCTTACAGCAGATAACAACAGATAGCCTGTGGCGCGGTTCTAATAAACGGATAAAAGAGCAGGATATGCAAAGCCACGCAGTGAAAGCCTATTCATGACATGCTGAAGTGCCCTAACAACTGGTTGGACTGGCTTGTTTCCTCTTTCTGTGATGTCATCCAATAGATGAGCGGCTGGCGGCTGCGATGCGCATGTATGCAGTCCGCTGCCTGAACGCATCACAGCGAACCGCACTTGACAGCTTTCCAGGTTAGAGAGAAAGGGGGGGCAAAAACAGACCATTGAAAGGGAGGGAACCAGAATTTCCATCAGCCAGCCGTCATCCGCATCCACCCGAGGTAGAGGGTTTCCCGCAGCCTCTCTATCTCACACACCTCATGCATCATTTTTGGGGATTAATGATGTTTCTGTCGTAACGCACAGATGACAGCGTAACCAGGGCGGTGGGCTGTTACCAGATACCAAAAATTATATATATACACACACAGCCAGCTTTTTTTTTTTGTGTTGTTGTTGATCCGCTGTGACTGGACATGAATTCGGCGGAACAGACGGTTACATGGCTGATTACGCTCGGGGTGCTGGAGTCGCCGAAGAAGACCATCTCGGATCCCGAAGCGTTTCTGCAGAGCTCCCTGAAAGATGGGGTGGTCTTGTGCCGACTGCTGGAGCGGCTCAGCCCGGGGTCCACGGAAAAAGTAAGGGCAATAACACCCCACCACCACCACCACCACCACCTCCACCCTTCCACAACCGCACTCTCTCTCCGCATAACCAACCGCCCGCCCCGTCGGCGTGTCTGCCCGGATCCGTAAAAAAACCGACGCGGTTTGTTGTCTGGCCTCTCTTTCTGCCCACTGATCCATGAGGCAATTTCTTTTGTAGGTCACGGCAGCCCGTGTTATTGTCTGCGATAACAGCACCGTGGCTGCACATACGTATGTCAGCGCGTAAAAAAAAAAAAACGGAAAGGCCGTTGTTTCCACTGCGTATCGATCCGCTTTAAATAAGGCATCATTGTTATGGGATGAAAAAATGATTCATCAAATGTATGTACTGCTGTTGGATCCTCTGGTGTTTTATGATCTTTACAATGAAGGCCTCGATTCATATGCTTTCAACGCAGGTTTACACACTCGAGCGTCGTGCGTAATCGTTCGAAGCCCACTGTTTTAAATTCCTCTTTAATCCAGGGCATGTGTGTCCGTGTATTTTGGTCCACGCAGCGGGCAGCAGACAGGGATGAGTGACTATCTGTACACAGCTATAAGAGTGGGCCGCCATTGACTGCAAAGGCGCACAGACGGAGATGGACCCTCTCCCTTTTTAAAGAAACAGCGCAGTGTTTGTGTCTGTCAACGTATAGCATCAGCCAGTTTAGACAGCAACCTAAAGGAGGCAATGTTTTTCCTGAAAAGAGAGAGACAGGGAGAGTTTTGCTCGAGGCTACTTGCACCTTCACACAAGCCTGAGAGATTTGCATGTTAAATAACAGGTTTTTCATATTGTGACAGCAGTTATCTTTCATCCAATTAAGCACATGGCAGCATCTGATGTTGGTTAAAAAACATTTACAATGGTGTGTCCTCACAGGGGGGAGAAACAACTGTTCCCTCATGATGCTGACGTGAGATCCAGTGTGGCCCAAATCAGGCAACATATTGCTGATCTAAATTCTGTTTAATCTGCTGCCATAGTGGATTTAATATGTTATATTTCCAGACAGCTGCTAAGAAGATTTTGTAAAACTTGTAAACCCTTGTGGGTTAAATGCCTTGACCCACAACAGTATTCTCATACTATCAAACTGTTTCACTGATAAAATAATTACAAGTTAGATAACACTACATGTATGCAAACACATGGCTTGTTTATATGTTTTTTCCCTGATCAGTGAAGACAGGCCTCCATACCTTTTAAAAACAATGACAATAAATGTCACCAAAAAGTGCAGAACTAAGATTCTAAGTCCAGTACTAGATTTTTTTTCAACCAATTCAGATGTCGATATTTCAATTTAACACAATTCAGATGATGATATATTAGAGAATTGTGTGCCTTTTCTTTTTACATAAACACATAACATAAACAAGTCTTTTTATTTGGTTATTTTAAATATGGTTTCAAATTAAGGTTTCGCTGGTAGTGATTATTGGATTGGTCGATTATTGAGATCACTATTGAGCATTTTCCCAATCATCCATCCATTATCTATACACCGCTTAATCCTCACGGTCGTGGGGGGCTGGAGTCTATCCCAGCTGACTTAGGGTGAAGGCGGGAGACATCCTGGACAGGTCACCAGTCTATCACAGGGCTACACTTAGAGCAGGGGTGTCCAATCCTGGTCGTCGAGGGCTACACAATCCTGTATGTTTTAGATGTTTCCCTCTTCCAACACACCTGATTCAAATGATCAGGATTGTTATGAGCTGATCATTTGAATCAGGTGTGTTGGAAGAAGGAAACATCTAAAACATGCAGGGTTGTGTAGCCCTCGACGACCAGGATTGGACACCCCTGAGTTAGAGACAGACAACCAAGCACACTCACATTCACACCTACGCACAATTTAGAATCACCAATTAACCTCAACATGTTTTTGGACTGTGGGAGGAAGCCGGAGAACCCGGAGAGAACCCACGCTGCACGGGGAGAACATGCAAACTCCACGCAGAAAGATCCCGGGTGTCCTCACCAGGACGCAAACCGGTGACCTTCTTGCTGCCTTTCTTTGTCTGTAGTCAGTCATTTGTCCTAGAAATGTCTCTCTAGCAGAGACACAACCTGCAAAAACTTAAACAAGAAGTTGTCGCCACAAACCAGGGCATTAGCTGCTTCACCGCCTACATTAGGAGGCAGCAGTAGATTAACCCGAACATTAGCTAAGAATGTTTTAAGATATGGGTCTCAGTTGACAATAAAAGTGACAGAACAGAGAAAAAATAACCATACACAGAGCAGAACAGCAGACATAACTGCAGGAGACAAGCTGCTGATCTCAACTGAAGTTCTAATGTGTGATTCTCTGACATCATTGCTCCTATTTCTATTGTACATATTCAGTGATGTTATTTCTTTGTAATGAAGAAGCCTAGTTATGAATGACAAGTTTCCTGCCGTCAGAGGCTATGAAAATATCACGTTTATGTGTCAACAAATTAAATTAGCTGTCTGTTTTGATTACCAATAATCGGCATCAACCTGGAAAACCCATATTGACCTGACTATGGGTAACGTGTACTGAGCAAACATTTGCAGCTGAAAAATAAGCCTGTCGGTACTCTCCGGTGGACAAACTATGCAATGAAGATTATTTATGTCAAATATACAACAACTTGTCTGTGAAGTTGTGGGGTAATGTTAGAAGCTTCAGTAAAAAGCAACTGGAAGTCTCTTTTAGGTTTTTGAGGATGTTTAGCCTCATCCAAGAGGCTTCTTTGGTTAGAACTGTCTTCAAAAACCAAAAAGAGACGTCCAGTTGCTTTGTACTGAAGCTCCTAAGATTTCTTCTGACATATCTTCACAGACAGCGCTGTGATATATCCTCTATACATTAACATATGTGAGTGTTTTTTTCTTTTTTATAGATGCTGCAACTCCCACAGTTCTACAATTTTTTATTTGTTCCTTTTTGCTGTTCTTCCTATTTTTTCCTGATACTTCCACTTAACCTGGTTGCTTACATAATAGGAAATATCTCTCTGTTTTGGCTCAGTTCCTGTAGCCATATTCTCACTGAGTAGTTTCTGTCTGAGCTGTGATGTAGAAGAAGGTGGGAAATGTGGAACACAGCTGCTATAAATGCCAGAGATGTTACCTTACCGACTAAAGATGCAGACAAGGAAGCTGCCCTCGCCTCGCTCGCTTGCATCGCTTCTTTCCTCCTCAGTTTCCTCCTTCTGACTTTATAATACAAGGGGTAGATGCAAAGCTGTGATATGACAGCGTGTGCAGCCTCAATTGCACTTCTATTATTCGTCTTTATCTAATCTGAAGAATGTCTTCTTCTTTTTTTTATCAGCGACTCGCTCTTTTGCTTCCCCAGGGCTGTATTAATAACTGCATGCCGCATGCACACTTCCTCGACTTATCTCTGCCCTGGACATACAGTAGGACAGTACATCAGCAACGGGGAATATGAGAAAAACTGAAACTGATATTGTAATTAAACTGGAATGTGGTGGGAAATGTTTTTGAAAAGTTAAAAGGATGCAAAATGTGAGGAAAAGTATAATTGTGATGAATGATGATAGAAAATATGAAGAAAGTAGTAGTTTTTTGCAAGAGGAAGACATAATAGCAACCTGCTGTTAAACATGAATATAGAACTTTAGATATTTTTGTCATTTTAAAAAAAGATTTTACCTATATCAGTTGGAAATGCCAAAGATATGTTAAAACAATAGCATCCCCACTACATAGTACAGGCTTTGTCCCCCGGAGACTATACTGAAAAGTACATTTTTTTAGCTAGAAAATTTCCTGATCAGTACGTGTCATGTACACAATTCACTTTTCAAGGATCCTTCTCAAAAATGTCAGTTTATGTTATGCTTAGAAAAACAATATGCAACAAAATAGTCATACGATTATTTTTGACAAATTTTTTCTTTGAGTTACTCAAACCGAATTATCAGTTTACAAAATAATTTGAGATTCATATAATAGTCAATAATATTCAGTTTACTATAATGGAGGAAGAAAGAAACAAGAACATTTTGTAATCTAAGAAGCTGAAATCAGAGGATTTTGACAAATTTCTCTTTAAAAATGTCTCAAACTGATTAATTGATTGATAAAATGGTTGCTGATTGATTTAAATTGATTTAATAACCCAATTATATTCTGTTAACTGTCACAGAAAAGTACAAACAAAACAAAACCCTATTTTGGTTTTTTTTCTTAAAATATTTCTCAAACTGACTAATTGGTTAGTGAAATAGGGGATTTATTTAATGACCCAGTAATTTCCTTTTTATTGTCACAGAGGAGGAATGAAACACAGAAATATTCCAGTTTAACAATTTTAAGTTTAACTATTTTTTTCTTTTCTTTTTTTAGAAACTGACTCAAAGGGAATAATCAGTTCTAAAATAATTGGTTGTTTCTTTAATAACCCAATAATATTTAATTTACGCTCATAGAGTAGTAAAGAAACCAAAATATATCCATTTAAAACAAATTAGAAGCTACAATCAGAGGTTTTGACTTGTTTTCTTAAAACATTATGACCTGTTATCAGAATAGTTGGCAATTAATCTGTTAACCCAATAATATTCGGTTTACTGATGCAGAAGAGTAAAGAAACCAGAAAATACTCTAAACTAAAATCAATGGATTTTGTCCCTTTCTGTAAAATTATTGTTAAATTAAATGAAACTAAATTATACGAAGTCAAAATTATTAAACAAAAGTTGTTGATTGATCTAACCCGATGATATTCCATTAATTGTCAAAGAGGATTAAAGAAACCTGAAAACATGATTATTTCAGAAGGATGATTTAGAAAATGTAGATGTTTTTTTTTCTCAAGAAATCACTCAAACTGAGTAATCAATCAGGAAAATAGCTCGTGATTCATTTAATAACCCAACAATAGATGAGGAAAGAAATCCTACAATATTCTACTTTACACTTGAATCAGTGGAGTTTTACTTACATTTTCTTTATTTTCTTAATGATATTATGAAATTTTAGAAGCTGGAATTGGAAGATTTTGACTTTATTTTCCTTTTGAAAAATTACTCAAAACAATGTATCACTTACGGAGCAGCTGGTGGCTAATCTCATAACCCAAAAATATTCACTTTACTGCCATAGAGGAGGAAAGAAACCAGAAAAAATTCATGTCGTGTAACAAGCTAGAATCCAAGAAGTGTTTTTTTTTTTTTTTGTCAGAAGAAGTCACTCAGCAATTATTTGATTATCAAAACAAATGGTGATTTACTTTACAAAGCAGCAATATTCTGTTTATTATCATAGAAGTAAAGAAACTAGAAACTAGAAAATTTTAGAAGCTGGAATTTGACGATTTGGACTTTACTCAAACCGATGAATCACTTATCTACAGTCACACAACAGAAGTGCCACAGGTCTCTAGGGGCACTATTAAGTATTTAGCTTTTCAGTCACTATGATTATATGGGTGCTGAAGTGTTGTTTTACTGCTGTCTCCCTGTGTTCTCTCTGTTATTTATGTTTATCCATGGAGACGAGAGGATACACACCTTTTCATACAGCTACTTGTCAGGTGAAAAGCTCACTACTGCCCCTATAGGCCTGTGGCACTTGCATTGCGTGACTGGATATGCAGCATTTTCTTTTTGCATTTGTTTTCATTCATGCAAAATGTCTGTATATGCAGCGTTTTCTTTTTGTAGTGCGTTTCTGTTTATGCAAAGTATTTGTGTGGATGTAAACAGTGGATTCTCTACTGCGTTGTGTCATATTAGCTGAAGCAAGGATCTTTTTGGAGGCAATCTCCGTTTACTTCAACTTAACGGACGACAGAAAAACATACAAAATCCGCTGCAGTTCCCAAGACTTGTACCCCTCTCCCACAGAATACATGAACTAAAGGGCGCCGCGTAAGGCGGGAAGCATTCAATATATGTACAGTAGAGGTACAGTACAAGTCTGAACACATACCTTAACAGACGAAAAAAAAA